TCTGAAATCCTTAATAAGAAGTTATTCAAAAGATAATTAATTTTTTTATACCAGCCTTTTTGCAAAACATAAGGATTAAAAAAATTGAATTTCTTGTGCAGGAATTACTTATGATTACTTTTTACGCACGCATTAGTCCCTTAAGCTTGAAGAATCATTGTTTCGTTCGCCAGTTCTTTCAAAATTTCTTTTATTAGAAAACAAACGCAGATGGCATTTTAATTACCATCCCCGACTTCCCCTCGATCTACTTTGAATTCTTCTGGCGAAATTTATCTGAGTTTCGAGCAAATGAACTTTTCTAATTAACTAAACTGACTTGTGGACGGATCGATTTGACGTGCTAATTAAAAGCAAACCTCTTCGGTGAAATTACGACTTTTACTTCCCTAAGGCAATTACTGACAATGTAAAATTATAATTTTAGTGTGAAACGCTCGGCAAAATTTAAATAAAACATAAAATACCATCAAAACCGTCTCGTACCATGCGAGATGAGTACCGCGTCGCTAATACCTCTTCTTAGTGCCAAAAGAACATGTTGATTTAAAATGTTAGGTTAGGAAACAAAATAACTTAAATAAACTTACCCAATAACTACAACAAGGATAGTAGGGACTAGGAGCTTGAATTACGTTCAATCTCATAGGTAAAAATCCTTATTTTATTATTTCTACGCCACTGTCTCCTTTTATGTATATTGCTAGGTTAGGATTGGGTTACGTAGAAATAATGGCTATATTTTCATACTTCTCTGAATTGCATATTGGTGCTATAAAGCAAAGAAAGAATGTTATGCACCAAGGATAAATGGTATGCATCAGGAAGGGTTGAAAGGTTAGGTTATAGAATAGGTTTCTCTAATTGACTTCGAGAGTGTTGTCTTTCCCTACCGTGACCATATGATTCGTCCAAAATTGGATGGGTTCCTTCAACTCATTCTAGTTTTTAACGCTACCCTCTTTTTGTTAATTCAAAGTTCGCTTTGAAAACGTGTTCTTTTTACTGAAGTTTACTAATTATCAATCGTTTACTATTAATTCGCAAAACACTTGTGCTTGCTTCAAGCTAAAAATAATCCAATATAATCCAGTTTATAAAAACGGAAGAGGGCGAGGCGAATTCGTAAAGTTAAAATATGTTGAACGAAGGCAGTTCAGGAAAAGTTTGCAGAATGGCATTTCTTTCGCATACGTTTATTTTGTTTTGCTGGCAGCTGTAATTCGGGTAGCTTTTAGAGTTTAGAAGGTAAACCCTTGGCCTGTTCAAACTTTTAACTGCAAACGTCGGTTGCATTTTAATCGTTTGACATTCTAGCAGAAAATGTAAACTGCTCTATTATTCACGGCTCACAATCATTCAATCATGTAACACGAGAGCTTAAAATATATATATACTATTACATAATTTCCTATTTAGGTCACTGGTACAAAGTTAGTGCCTATTTACATCCAAATTGTTTACTTAAAATTACAAACTAACAGGTCAATTGAAAAGTCCCCGGCCTAAAATAGTAAAACACATTTTTTTTGCAAAATTCGTTTTTTTTATTCAACATAATTCCCTTCAAGGGTGATACACTGATTATAGCGATCCTCCAACTTTTCGATACCATTTTTGTAGTACGATTTGTCCTTTGCTTCAAAATAGGCCTCAGTTTCGGCGATCACCTCTTCATTCGACGAAAATTTTTTCCCAACGAGCATTCTTTTGAGATCTGAGAACAGGAAGTAGTCGCTGGGGGCCAGATCTGGAGAATACGGTGGATGCGGAAGCAATTCGAAGCCCAATTCATGAATTTTTGCCATCGTTTTCACTGACTTGTGAGACGGTGCATTGTCTTGGTGAAGCAGGACTTTCTTTTTCTGCAAATGCGGTCGTTTCTCGGCGATTTCGTCCTTCAAACGGTCCAATAACGCTATGTAATAGTCGCTGTTGATGGTCCTTCCTTTTTCAAGGTAGTCAATGAAAATTATTCCACGCGCATCCCAAAATACAGACGCCATAACCTTGCCAGCCGACTGTTGCGTTTTTGCACGCTTTGGAGCGGGTTCATCGTGTGCAGTCCACTCCGATGACTGTCGATTGGACTTCGGAGTGAAATGATGGAGCCATGTTTCATCCATTGTCACATATCGACGCAAAAACTCGGGTTTATTACGCGTGATCATCTTCAAACACTGCTCTGAATCATCAACTCGTCGTTGTTTTTGGTCAAAAGTGAGCTCGCGCGGCACCCACTTTGCACAGAGCTTTCTCATACCCAAATATTCGTGAATGATGTGATGTATACGTTCCGTTGATATCTGTAGAGTGTCTGCTATTTCATTCAATTTCAATTTACGGTCATTCAAAATCATTTTGTGGATTTTTTTAATGTTTTCGTCCGTAACAGCCTCTTTTGGGCGTCCACTGCGTTCACCGTCTTCGGTGCTCATTTCACCACGTCTAAACTTAGCATACCAATCCTTGATGGTTGATTTTCCTGGGGCAGTGTCCGGAAATTCGTTATCAAGCCAAGTTTTTGCTTCAACTGTATTTTTTCCCTTCAAAAAGCAATATTTTATCAACACGCGAAATTCCTTTTTATCCATTTTTTTCACAATAACAAAAGTTGCTTCACTAAAAATGCTATAATTCACAAACTAATGATCCGACAGCCGTAACTGAAAATCATATGGATTTAGTTCTGGTGCCGCCATTTGTGTCAGGCCGGGGACTTTTCAATTGACCCTAGTAAAACCTATCACTGGAGTTGTAGGTCATTTAGCATCAATGGTACCTAAGTAACGTAAAAAATAAGATTCAAATTCAGAACAATCGAACCGAAAGACCTAGAGCTTCCCGTGATAAAAATGTTCAGTCTCTCAGAGTCTCTGAAAGCGAAGCTCGAGTTTCCGTCTTTCATCGAGTCTCTCTGGTGTCGCTGAGAGAGACTGTCGAGAGACTGTCAAAAAAACTGTGTAGCGTCTCTGAACGAGAGACTCGAGTCGCTCTTAGAGAAATTCTCATTTCGTATTCAGTCTCTGAACGAGAGACTCTAATCTCTCAATTTTTCAGTTCTATTCATTCAGTCTCTCTGTGAGAGACTCGAATCTCTGAATTAACAATTTTATCATTCGAGTCTCATACGGAGACGGTGAGAGATCCATAAAAACACCTAGGCAATAACTAAGAGACTGTGAGAGACGCTCTCAGAGACGCTGAAAGACTCTGAGAGACTGAAAATTTTTGTCTAGGGTTTAGACCATTGTTTAGTATTCGGAAGGATCCGGTTCGAATCTGGATACGTTTGCCCTGGTCCAAGTTTTGTTGTGGTTTCCTTGGATCACTTAGACATTTCACAGATAATCTTTTATTCTCTTCTATCTTCATTTCGTCCATCTCATCATTTACCCCAATCACCATTCCGATTACTCCTAGAAGGAGACTGAAGAGGTCCTTTTGCCCTACAGTCTCCAGCGTAGGAAGGAGGATCTGTCCGCCCACTCACCAGCCGAAACACCCAAAGAGAACAAATCAGTCAGGGTGGTGAGGCGGATGTCCGTTTTCATTTATCCCAACAGTTACAAGTTCCCTGTAATATTAAGCCTTCCCCACAAGTATACAATAAACTCAACAAATAAATTTTTTACACGTTTAATTATTTGTGAAATATCTTTAAATTCTTATTTCAATTGTTTTAAATATATTTCTTACTTTTAATTATTTATTAATCTTAAAGTAAGGATTAAATGAAAAGTAGAGTACATTAGCGATTTAGCCTCCAAGAGATAGATAAAGGATTTTGATACAAATAGTGCGAGAAGATGAAGAGAAGTAAAGAGTGATATAAATTACCAGTGATATGAATAATGTGATTGTACGGTAAATAATTATAGGTATTAGTGCGGTGCTTTCCAGCACTAAATAAATCGCTTAGAATATATATCTACATATAAGAGACTTGTACAAATAAGTAGTTATCTCTTCTCGAACATTTGTTACAATATTAATTTACAAGAGTTTCACTTTAAAGTATTATTATTATCTAAGGGAATTATTCAACAAATATCTCATAACAAACACAAACATAGCCAGCTAAAAATACCCTAAAACTCCCCCACATTTTGAATGAACAGTTTATTGAACTTTCTAGAGATAAACAGTGGTATATAGAGAAAGAAATGGAAAGTTTTTTTTGACAAGGAAATGCTTCTGTTTGCGTTGGAACGTTAAATCTACATAACAGAAATGGAGTTTCCTTGTTATACAATGTTAACAGCACTTCTAACTTCTTAACTGCTATGCAAAGTTAAAATCACTTTTTACAAACGAAAGGAATTCACACAGAAAGATAACAATACTCAGCGCAATTTTAAAAAAACGAGGTATTTTTTATGAGTTACATTTTCAGTAGGAAATAGTTTTTTGTTAAAGACACGACAAATTAAAATTTTCAGTTTACTTATCTACATATTGTTGACATGCCGGAATATAATTCAATAGAACTACACATTTGTGCTATTTGATCAATTTCAAATAGATACAATAAATAAAGATACTTCATAACAGCAAACAAACTAATAAATAATTTAGTTGTATATTATATGAAACTCCCGAGATAAAAATGTTCAGTCTCTCAGAGTCTCTGAAAGCGAGGCTCGAGTCTCCGTCTTTCATCGAGTCTCTCTGTCGAGAGACTGTCAAAAAAACTGTGTAGCGTCTCTGAACGAGAGAATCGAGGTTCTCGTAGAGAGATCTTAATTTCGTATCCAGTCTCTGAACGAGAGACTCCAATCTCTGAATTAACAATTATGTTGTTCGAGTCTCTCATACAGAGACTTAGAGAGATCCATAAAAACACCTAGGCAATAACTCAGAGACTGTAAAAGACTGACTGTGAGAGACGCTGAAAGACTCTGAAAGACTCTGAGAGACTGGAGAGAGACCGAGAATTTTTGTCTAGGACTGATATTAGGTATTTAAATAAAGTCTAATTTCAATTTCTTTTTTTCCAGCATGTGATATGAACGTTCACAAGAGATGTGAAGAAAGTGTTCCAAATTTGTGCGGCTGTGATCATACCGAAAGGAGAGGCAGAATCCAACTCAAAATTAATTGCGTAGGAAATAAGCTTACTATTGAAGGTAAGAAAACTTTTTTGTACACAATTAAGTGTTTGTTGGTTCCTTTAACTTGTTTTATTATCAACACTCTTTTTGTTCTGGCCAACATTAGTATCTAATTACGGAATTTATCATAACGATGATGTTTTGACTCGTTAAAACTTAATATTTTTTTTTCTTAAAAAAAAAAGTTTTAGGTGTTTCATTCCCATCAGCCAGTAATGCTGGTGGGCGGGCAGTCCTTCTGGACTACACCGGAAGGTAGGGCGGAAGGCTCTCTTTTAGGAATCGTGGGAATGGGTGGGTGGTGGTTCGGGTGAGAAAGATGAGACGGACAAAATGAAGACAGGGGAGAATGAAGGATTATCTGTGGAATATTATTGCTCTAGCATTTACCTAAATGGAGTAAGGCAGACGGACCCGGAATCGAACCGACGTCCTTTCGAATGCTAAGCAATCGTGTTTTCGACCTTCTTAGGTCTCGTCAGCACGTCATAGACAGTCTTGTTTTTTTTTTCTTTAAATAGGTGGAAAACACTTATACTTTTTAACCGACTTCAAAAAAGGAGAATGTTCTCAATTCGATTGCGTGTTTTTCTTTTGTATGTTCTTTATGCGATTTTTCTGCGAAATTATGAATTGATTTTGATGATTCTTTTTTTTTGTTTGGTAGGTCATACTTCAGGATAATCCCGTATAAATTTTATTGAGATTAATTCAGTGCGTTTTGAAAAAAATCAATAGAAGCAAAGAATATATATACACTAAAAATTGAAAAATAAAGTTAATTTTTAGAAAAAAACAAAAACCGACTTCAAGAATATGCCTACATGCACAAACAAACTAAAAAGTAGAAAATAATAGTTTAATTACTTCAAATCAAAGTGCGTTACAGAACAATCCACAAAATCATTGACACTTATGTACATTAACAATTTATAATCAGTTATTTTTGGTGTCGGTGCCAGTCAAAGTAAAAATTATCTTAATAGATACCTGCTCGATTAATCAATTAATATATGAAAGAGAAAGTAGAGATTAGTTAAAAGAAATTGGACGAAAATTTTGTTGCAAAGGAAGGATTAAACTGTCCCTCCTACTGACAGCGCAACTTCAAAAATTATTTATAAATTGCAAATGTGTATTATTAATGGTTTTGTCGATTGTTCTGTAATGCACTTTGCTTTGAAGTAATCAAAATAATATTTTCTACAACAAGAAATCAGAGTCAAATAGGTATGGGCAAAAAGTTTTTATTCTAGTAAAACCACACGTACGTTTCGCCTCTGGTTTGAATTTTTATCAAGTTTGCAATACAATCCCAAACCACAGGCGAAACGTCGGCGTGATTTTACTACAATAAACACTTTTTGGCCTTTTTTTGGCTCTGATTTCCTATTATTATTCTAAACTAAAGGGAAAGAAATGGAACATAATATTTTCTAGGTACTTTTTGTTTAAGTTTGTACATATAGGTATAGTCTTGAAGTTGGTTTTTGTTTTTTCTTCTCAAAATTAACTTTATATAGCAAATATTTACACAATAGTGTATTATCTATGAGATGAAAAAAAACTTCCATTTCATGGAGTTTACATTTTACTTGTTTCTACTGGCTGTAATCTGACAGATTTATCATATCATTTCCTCTAATTTGTCTATAAAATCCACTTTCTACAATTATACTTCCAATTTTCTTAAAATGGCCTCCTGTAGTTTATCACATATTCTACCAATTAAAGATTACCTACACATTCGAGCAATAGGCAAACAAATTCGTATCAGCAATTCGCTCCTCCCTATTAAAAACTAATACGGCAAATACTGCTTCCTGCGACTAATTAGTAAACTAATTGAAAATTAATAGCGACAAGCTACTTATGTTCTCCTAATACTAAATCGCAAATATTTCACTCAACTATAATAAAAAAACTAAACAAAAAATGTACCATTACGCAGTGCCGACTTTAAAGGAGATGCTTCAAATAATTTTTATTGAAAATATGCATAAGGACTGGTATTAAGAATACCGTAATTACCTTCAATGAGTTTTTTACGCACTTTAATGATAAAAAAACGAAAAAAATATTTTACTATTAGGAGACTGTGACACCACGGGCCTTGAAGTAACTTACCCGACCAGAATTTATAAGGGGCATGCCCCATATTATAAAGTGACCATATTTTTTTTGTCAAAGCGGGACGTCTGTTGTAAAAAAATTGTTATTTTACAAGTTTTTTTATTGAAAAAGGGTAAAGTATGTTACATTACTTCTAGATAGGCTGTATTTTATATTTGTCGGCTGAATAAATCTTTTTTAAAACCTCTGGATTCGTTTTTAGGTACGAATAGACCTCAGTACACGATTTATGTTAATCTTTGTAATCAAAATGACTTTCAATACTGAGACGTTTAACTGTGCTTTTTTTACTCGTCGCGTTGTGACGTAGGTACAAAGTAATTGTAAATTAAATTATATTTGGTCTGTTTGCGAAAGCGGGATTTTTATGCCCTCGCTGGGGACAGCGGGACGGACAGCTTGAAAGCGGGACTGTCCCGCTCAAAGCGGTACCTATGGTCACCTTACTCATATAGCGTGCGGACCTCATGTGACTAATGAGGAGGGACATACAGATAATAGGGATTTCCCTGTAGATTCGTCGTGAAAATCCCACCAAAAAAAGTGGTGATACTAAAATGAAGATTGTCTCATGGGTTTTTCATATGGGTATTAAGGGGCAAACCTAAAACATGTAAAAACTTACAATTAAAATAAACAGTTAACCTTATAAGGGATCGATGAGGCAAATCCGTTTGAAAATACTCCCGATAAAATTAAAAAACTTATAAAAATATGGTAACAATCCCATTGCCCAATTATGTTGTCGTTTCAATGAAATCTGAACCAACAAGTGTACCTGGTGATATGTATTATTATTATAAGAAAACTGAAACCAGACGCATCAAGTCGAACAACAGTAAAACGATTGCAATTTAAAGTGTTATTGACTACAAAAGAGCCCAATAAAACAATCTTATTTAAGAGCAAACAAATTTTACAAATAAGTGATGTATGTATGTATATATAAGTGTATTGTGGAAAACTACTACGAAAAAGAAAATCCCTTTATACATATCCATGCGATGCTAAATATTCAGAAATGTACCTATAGTTTCTGTAAACAATGAAAATATTATTACCTGTAAAATCATATATGTTGATAAAAAAATTGTTTACGTTAATGTTGGTGATGAAAGTAAAGAAATAAAATGTGTTACCCCGTTGTTACATATGTAAAAAAAATGTTTCTCATTAGTAAAATATATTTCTCATTCAATTTTGTATTCTTTTCATTTATGATAAAGTTCATTTTTCCAAAAATTTTTAATGGGATAGCAATATTTTTCCTCGCGGGAGCCACATGGGGCTCACAAAGGGTGGTGTGCTACCCACTTAGGGACCCTACCTCCTCAAAATTCTAGTCGGGTATTTGCTAAAGGATATTTTTTAGAATTTTTAAACTTTAGAGGAGTAACTGTGTTCGGGAATTTACTACTTTGACAAATTCCTGCAATCGTAAGCGAGACACGTTATTTGGTATTTTTGTTCTTATTTTTTCAGTGTGCCAAGGAAGAAATTTGATACCAATGGATCCGAACGGATCTAGTGATCCCTACGTTAAACTAAAGCTCATTCCCGACACGGATGCAGTAAAGAAAAAAACCAAAACGATTCGGGCTTCGTTGAATCCTGTTTGGAACGAGACTATCACTTTGTAAGTCTATTTAGCAATTAACTTATACTTACAGAATCTTTACAGTTATAAGAAAATTTTAATTAGACGAAAAGCGCTATTTTATTATGAAAATTATAATATGTAAACTCTGAGTTAACTAAAGTGGCGGCTCATGCAATAAAACTGTTAACAATAGACCACTTTTGTTCATGCCTAAGTGCAATTACAACTTTATGATACCATTCAAACGAAATACGTTTTATATTCTGTTAAGTATCTACCTGTGCTTACAGAAGTCAAAATAGTTTTAAAACTTTCACAAGAATGTATTCAAATGAATTTAACTGCTATGTTTTATGGAAATATGGGAGATACGCTGGTAGCATAACATTTTTGGTGGATTTCACCTGCAAAGATAAACTCAATAAGGGTTCTTGTGCCTTAACATTGTCACTAACTAATATTCGGGCCGCCCTTATTTCGGCGGATGTTCGCCATTCGACAAGATAAGCTTATAAATCTGTCCGTGGCAAATTCATCGTATGGGGCGCTCCCTTTAATGTAAAAAAACGGATTGTAGTTTAATTTTTATAAATCACAAAGTAAAGTAGATAATATGTTCACTTACTAACAGTATTATAATTATTGTGTGCATTTTTGGTTAATAATCTATCTAGTAAATTTTAACTTATAGAGCGTAGATGAGAAAAAAATGTTTTTAGCGAAATATTTATTATTAAAATCCTTTTTTCTGGCTTTCTGTTCAGCAAAAGTGTCACTGACAACATCAAACTTCAAATTACGTGTCACATAATTTTCGAGGGATAGAATAGCCAACTTGCGTAGTCAACAAAAATAGAAAGCGGGGATTGTCCGAGCATTAACTAGCTGGCGCCACCAAAGAAGTACATCGGCAAAAAAATGAACTTAAAACATTGGATACGTTCTAAATCTGAACGATATCTTTTTCTTTTGAATATGTTCAAATCAAATTTATTGGTATAATTCGTGTATATTCTTGAATTATTATCTAACTTAAATTGATGATTAAATACAAAATTAATATTTTTTACTANTGATTTTTACTCGTACCTAGTTGTGGTTGTCCTGGATCGGGATATTCACTGTTTTCGGGCTCTGCTATTTTAGCAAAATTTACAAATCATTGTAAAATTATTGATATATATATATATAATGTTTAGTCGTGACCCGAATAAATTTCATAAAAAGTTAGCACTCATTTGACAGTCATGAACATCCTTCAAAAATAGAAAGCAGGGATTTCCCAAGAATCACTAGGCTCCACCAACAAAGAAGTGCCGCTGCAAAACAATGAACTTAACGCAGTAGATGCGATATCTTCTTCTAATGAATGTGTTCAAATCTTGAAATTTATTTGTATATTTGGTGTATGTTCTTGAGTTAATACCTAACTTAAATTGATTAAATACAAAATCAATATTTTTTACTAAATTCTGAAATAAATGTATTTTGTGTCATCACAACCTCTCGGACTGGGGGTTCCCTCAGGCTGGCAGCCCATTTCATTTTTCCCATTCTTTATTGCTAGAACACTGGAGAGAGTATCAGAAACCTCTTTACATTCCATTTGAACCATTTAATACACCCTTAGTTCTTTTGACACTATCAAAAATAAATAAACGTTAAATATTTCTTTACACCTCGAATTAATTAACAAGATGTGTCTAATATAACAATATCCAATATGAAACACCAGTCTTATTGTTTTGGTTTCAAAATTTTAAAACAAGAAAATTAAAAATATGTATTTTGATTATCCTATAAGAAAAACCCATAAACTGAAGCATGATGTATTCGTTCACACCAGACTTCTGCCAAAATATATAGGTCATATTAATGCCTTGTGGTATACGTAGAAATAGTTTCTGTTGTTTTTATTAAGTTTGCTCAACTTAAATCTATTTCTCATTGTCAATTTAATTTTCTCATAAGGGTGACATTTTCAATTTAATAATCAGGATAGGTACGAATAATTTTTAGAATATTTTTTTTTACAAAAATACCAATCCCATTAGATTTAAAAAAACTCCGTGTTCGACTACAAAATTGCTACAGCTACGTTGTGCAATAAAAAGATATACGTAATAAATAAGTGCATTTCCTAGAGGAATAAAATTGTATTTGCTGAAAAAGAATTTTTCAATTACGTGAAAGGAATTGTTTGCCATTTCCGAAGGGAAATTTGTTATTTTTGTTTCAAATATTCTACTCTAATAAATATAAAACCACCTGGAGTTGTTCAGTTTCTGTGTTGTATCAACTGTGTAATACAAAATAATGTTTATTTTGTTTGGAAACTATTAGCTTCATCCACCATATAAGTGTATTGTGGAAAACTACTACGAAAAAGAAAATCCCTTTATACATATCCATGCGATGCTAAATATTCAGAAATGTACCTATAGTTTCTGTAAACAATGAAAATATTATTACCTGTAAAATCATATATGTTGATAAAAAAATGGTTTATTTAATGTTAGTGACGAAAGTAAAGAAATAATATGTGTTACCCCGTTGTTACATATGTAAAAAAATGTTTCTCATTAGTAAAATATATTTCTCATTCAATTTTGTATTCTTTTCATTTATGATAAAGTTCATTTTTCCAAAAATTTTTAATGGGATAGCAATATTTTTCCTCGCGGGAGCCACATGGGGCTCACAAAGGGTGGTGTGCTACCCACTTAGGGACCCTACCTCCTCAAAATTCTAGTCGGGTATTTGCTAAAGGATATTTTTTAGAATTTTTAAACTTTAGAGGAGTAACTGTGTTAGGGAATTTACTACTTTGACAAATTCCTGCAATCGTAAGCGAGACACGTTATTTGGTATTTTTGTTCTTATTTTTTCAGTGTGCCAAGGAAGAAATTTGATAC